TTTGATGTTTATTTCAATTTGATGTGACACTCTTCTACTCTATGGTTTTGAACAGCTTTATTCTTCCAGCAATATAAATGCCCCTTTTAGGGCATTTAAAAATGCCCCTTTAGGGGCGCCTGGGTGGCTCAGTGGGTTAAAGCCTCTGCCTTCAGCTCAGGTCATGATCCCAGGGTCCTGGGATTGAGCCCCACATTGGGCTCTCTACTCAACAGGGAGCCTGCTTCCCTGTCTCTCTCTGCCTGCCTCTCTGCCTACTTGTGATCTCTGTCTGTCAAATAAATAAATAAAAAATCTTTAAAAAAAATAAAATAAAAATGCCCCTTTAGGGCTTTTTTTTTTTTTTTTTTTTTACTGCTCCAGTCAATGAAAGGGAAACTTTATCAATCTCAAGTAGGTGGAGAGGCAGGCAGAGAGAGAGAGAGAGAGAGAGAGAGAGAGGAGGAAGCAGGCTCCCTACTGAGCAGAGAGCCCGATGCGGGGCTCAATCCCAGGACCCTGAGATCATGACCTGAGCCGAAGGCAGAGGTTTAACCCACTGAGCCATCCAGGTGCCCCCCTTTAGGGCATTTTTAAAAACAAAGGATAAAATGCAGCTCTCTATTTATCCTTCCCCTTTTTAAAAAAGACACACTATTTTTTTTTTAAAGATTTTATTTATTTATTTGACAGACAGAGATCACAAGTAGGCAGAGAGGCAGGCAGAGAGAGAGAGGGAGAAGCAGGCTCCCCGCTGAGCAGAGAGCCCGATGCAGGGCTCGATCCCAGAAACCTGGGATCATGACCTGAGTGGAAGGCAGAGGACCTAACCCACTAAGCCACCCAGGTGCCACCACACTATTGTTTTTATCTCTTGGTTGGGTCCTTAGAGTAATCTGGTTAAAAGACTTCCTTATATAGTATGAAAAGGGAGCTATTTGGCAAGGACCCAGGGTCCTGCTCACAGTAGGTTCTCTTCTAGATGGTGACATGGACTTGGACTTTCTCCCCCCAACTTACAACTTCAACTCTGTAGTTTATAGTACTAAAAGGTCTCTTAGAGCATCTCTTAGAGCTGTAATCAGATCCAAAGCAAAAGCCCATTTGACTTCAAAGAAATGTTTTATTTTGTTTTCCCTCCCCTTTCGGAAGGATCATTTTTGCCTCAATGAAAATAATTCAACTCAAAAAGCTTACTCTTAAAAGAAAAAAGAAAAAGAGAGATACTTTTTTTTTCTTATGTATTCTCTAGATTTTCTATTTCTTCCAAGACTGGTCATTACTTTTACTCACTATAGCACTATATGAAAATGTCTTGAAAGAAGAATACAGGAAGTAGGGAGTAATGCTGTCTGTGTTCTAAAAACTTAATTATCAGTAAATAGAAGTCACTATAAGGATAAGAGCCCCAGACACTCTGTCTATTAAAATTCTTGGCACTGTGACATTTAGGGCATATTTGTTGTGTATAGGACAGCTTTGCTCTGATGATCATATGGTTAGTAGGGGAGATATGCATATAAAGCCTCTTCAAAGTCGACTGTTTTCTTTTATGTGCTTCCCTAGGGCCATATATATTTGCCTATTATGGAAGTGACCTTATTGTTAACACTTTGAGGGGCAAGTTATATCTTACTCACTTAGAATAGTGCCTAAGACACAGTGAGTACCTCATGAATATTTGTAGAATAAAGATGGGGAGATAGGACATGTCCATAAGTAAGACAGAAGGAAAGCTTTTCAGGCAGAGAATAGGATATGTGAGCAAAGCAGAAAGGTAGGAAACTGTGGTTGAGAAATCATCACATTGTTCTGTTTGGTTAAAATATGTGTGAAGAGAGCACCTGGGTGGCTCAGTTGGTTAAGCAACTACCTTTAGCAAGTCCCGCATGGGACTCCCAGCTCCATGGGGAGTCTGCTTCTCCCTCTGACCTTCTCCTCTCTCATGCTCTCTCTCACTGTCTCTCTCTCAAATAAATAAATAACATTTTTTAAAAAATCTGTGTGAAGACACTATCTGAAGCTACAGTTGAAAAGATAGAATAGGTAGGATTTCAGAAATCGTTGTCAAGATGAGAGGGTAGTAGATGAGCCCTCTCAGTGATGTTGAGCGTCTTTTCATGTGTCTGTTGGCCATCTGTATGTCTTCTTTGGAAAAATGTCTGTTTAGGTCCTCTGCCAGTTTTTTAATCGGTTTGTTTGTTTTGATGTTGAGTTGTGTAACTTCTTTCTTAAGTTTGGATATTAACCCTTAGTTGGATATATCATTTGCAAATATCCTCTCCCAATCAGTGGTTTCCCTTTTTGTTTTGTTGATGGTTTCCTTTGCTGTACAAGAGCCTTTTCTTCTGCAGTAGTTCTGATAGTTGATTTCACTTTTTTTTTCTCTTGCCTGAGGAGATGTATCTAGAAAAATGTTTCTATGGCCAATGTCAAAGGAATTACTGCCTATTTTTTTTCTAGGAGTGTTATGGTTTCAGGTCTCACATTTAGATCTTTAATCTGTTTTGAGTTTATTTTTGTGTATAGTATAAGAGAGTGGTCCGATTTCATTCTTTTGCATGTAGCTGTTCAGTTTTCTCAACACCATTTGTTGAAGAAACTGTCCTTTTTCCATTGCGTATTCTTGCCTTCTTTGTCATAGATTAATTGACTGTATAAGTGTGGTTTCATTTCTGGAGTCTCAATTCTCTTCTGTTGACCTATGTGTCTGTTTGGGGGCCAGTACCATACTATTTTGATTACTACAGCTTTGTAGTATACCTTGAAATCGGAGATTATGATATCTCCAGCTCTGTTCTCCTTTCTCAAGATTGCTTTTGCTATTTGGGGTCTTTTGTGGTTCTATGCAAATTTTAGGATTATTTCTTTTAGTTCTGTGAAAAAAAATGTTGGTATTTTGATAGGAATGGCATTATATCTGTAGATTGCACTACTTATCAGGGAAATGCAAATTCAAACCACAATGAGATATCACTTTATACTTGTCAGAATGGCTAAAATCATAAGCACAAGAAACAATAAGTGTTGGCAAGTATGTGGAGAAAAAGGAATTCTTGTGCACTGTTGGTAGGAATGCAAATTGGTGTAGTCCCTGTGGAAAACAGTATGGAGGTTCCTGAAAAGATAAAAGGAAAAGTATCATATGATCCAGTAATTGTACTAGTGGATATTTACCCAATGAAAACAAAGTTACGTGCATCCCTGTGTTTATTACAGCATTATTTACAATAGCCAAGATATGGAAGCAACCCAAGTGTCCATGGATAGATGAATGGATAAAGAAGATGTGGTATTTATATATACAATGAAATATTACTAAGTCACAAAATAGAATGCCATTTGAACAACATGGATGGACCTAGAGAGTGTAATGCTGGTGTAATGCTAACTGAAATAAGTCAGAGAAAGACAAATACCATATGATTTCACTCATATCTGGAATTTAAGAAACAAAACAAATGAACAAACAAAGGAAAACAGAGACAAACAAAGAAACAGACTCTTAAATACAGAGAGCAAACTTGTTGCCAGAGGGAAGGTGGCTGGGAAGGCAGGTGAAACAGCTGAAGGGGATGAAGAGGACACTTCTCTTGATGAGCACTGAGTAATGTATAAAATCCTTGAATCACCTATATTGTACACCTGAAACTAATATAACGCAGTCCGTTAATTAGACTTCAAGACAAAGAGAACAATGGAAAAAAATAGAGGAGACCATTCCGTTGTGAAAAATTGAGTTTGAGGTGCCAGTAGAACCTCCAGATGAAGATAAGGCAATCTAAGTGGAAACAGGATGAGAAGCATAGGAGAGCCGGGTTGAGCTGGAGGAAAGACATTTGGCAGCCAGTCCACAGAAGGGGGTGTGTAAGCAGGGATCAGATAAAATTGCTGATGGGGAGAGGGAAGATGAGGAGAGCAGCACAACAAGAGAACTGAGGATGAAATCTCAGGACTTGAAAGGGAAATATGACCACAGCATGAGAGAGAGAAAGAGCAGTGAGGGCCACGTGTCATGGTGCCACGCCAGCAGCAGTTGTGCCTAGGCAAGGGTGTGGAGCGCAGTGCGGGGCACAGTGGAGCCCTGAGTTAGGGTCTTGCTCTACCACCTGCTAGCTGAATGAGCCACGTCTAGTTACCTGAGCTCTGGGCTCCGGGGTCCTTACCCGCAAGATGGGACTAACGCCTCAGTAGTTGCTGTGTTAATTTTGTTATTAAAAGCAGTCTTTAAATGATACCTTAAAATCACTCTCATCTATTAAAATAATAAGAACCAATAAAATGGAAGATTTGGAGTTATCTGTATTTCTTATGTATGTCAAGCAACAATATTGCAAAATTTAAAAATGTCTTTTAACCAGGATAAGATTGAAGACTTAGGAGTATTTGACTTATATGTTTTAGAAAGGAATATGCTGTCTTTTGCCCATCATCTTCTGAATGAAGCTTTTGGAATTTAAATACAATTCACTGTCCTATCAAGCGTGGTTTTTGGAGCACCTGCTGTATACCCATCTATCTCTTTCCTATCACTTAACAAGTCAAGAAACAACAAATGTTGGCGAGGATGCAGAGTAAGGGAAACCCTCTTACACTGCTTAATAATTAACAAATCTTGACTTGTTAATTTTAAGCCATCCTGACTGGTATAAGGTGGTCTGTCATTGTAGTTTTGATCTTTATTTCCCTGGGCATCACAAATACCCTTAACAACACTAAGATCCTCAGCTTCTGAGGCAATCTTGAATTTATAGTAGGTAAGTTTTCCTAGTACAATCTATTGTGATTTTCCCAGTACATTTTGTTGACATTTCTGGGAGAAGCAAAATCATTATTATTTTCTTGGGAAACATTTGCAAATTTCTGTCTCAGAAAATATCATGCTGTATAAAATTAATTTTTCCACGTCTCGCCATCATTGGTAAAGTGCATTTTAAGTGGAATTTTAATGTACTGATACTTTCCCTTTCCATTAGAAAAAAAGAACAATAAGAAACACCTTTTCTTATCCTTTGTATTAGGGTAACACATTAAGAAAAATACTCCTGAATCGCTACTTTAAAGGAGACTATGGAGTTGGTCCGAATGGACACCTCTCTGGGACCTACTGCAAATCTGCACAAGGGGCAGGTAAGACCAATCATTTTCTCATCATTCTGAGATTCTGGTCACATGTGTTCACACTGGGGTTATGTTAGCATTTTACTGAAAATAGAACAAAACAAAAAATTCACTCAAAAAATACTCTTAAAAGCCATTGTACAAAAATTTGCATTCAAAACACAATTGGTTTGAACATCTAATTTTGCTCTTTGACTCTGGAAAACAGTAAACTACGTGAGTTTTACCCAAGTTTTACTTACGTAAGTATGTAAATTAAGGACAAAAATAAGGCTAGTTTTCTTTTTCTGAAGTATTTATTATTAAGAAAAAACACATGGAGTTAATTACAGGTGTCATACATTGAATAGAAAGCTATGTTTTTGCAAACTTTTGACATTTTTTAAAAAACCCCTAGATTCTATTATATTTAATGCTGAGGAGAAAAAAAAATCCAAGGATAAATTATATTCTTAAGGTCTAAGAATTTGAAAACCTTATCTGTGAATAATGTCTAAAAATTAAGGTTTTTTTTTCATTCTCCTAATCACAGGGAGCTTTTCTGGACAAGATTCAGATAAGATGGGGATATCAATGTCAGATATTCAGTGTCTGCTGGATAAAGAAGGTGCATCTGAACTTGTCATTGATGTTATAGTGAACACCAAAAATGACAGGATTTTTTCAGAAGGCATTTTACTTGGCATTGCCTTGCTCGAAGGAGGAAATACACAGACTCAGGTACCTTTTTATCATGATGAGCATTATGTTGGTTATTTGTATCTCTTATTTACTTGTCCTAGGAACCAAGGAACGTGATATTTTTTTGCTTTTGGCTTCTCATGACTCTCTGAAAAAAAAAACAAAAACCAACAACCTTGTGTCACATTTTCCTTATAAATGTATTTGATTTACTGTAGAAACTACAGACCTTCACAAATTATTCAGTGAAGCAGAACATTCCTTAGAAGCTTCCTTTCTAACATTATACCAGAAATTCTGATTTGTTTAGGGAAATTTTAGGTCTACTTTCAGCTGATAAAAACAACATTTTGACTAATCTAAGAATTAAATGTAAAAATAAATAAATACATAAATGCCTCACACCATCTTTGGCTTTGTAATGGGTTTCAATACTATTGAACACCCCTCCCAGCACAGCCCCTCCCATTTACTTTTTTCAGAAGTTTAGAACAACAGCTTTACTTGATGCCCCAAATCTCCCAGTGCTTATTAACCAGATGCTTCTGAGTGAGTGAATTTTCAGTGATCTGGAGAGAGAAGGAACATTTCATTTGCAGTTAAAAGCGGGCATTCATCTATTCCACACGCAGTCATCATCACCATTTCCAGAAGGCACCTGTAAACGCCTACCAAGTGCCCCTGGGCTCTGACACTCCCAAAGGCAGAACACCCTGAGAGTGGGGGCCTGAGAGCAGAGCTGGGGAGAATTCCCACAGAGCACCCACCTTGCTTCTCGTCCTGCCGCTTGCTCACCTGCCCTTTCTGCGTTTGTCTTGGTTGGAGAAGGAAACTCAGCTTGCAACTCGCTGGAAATTTCAGAATCCACTTTTCCTGTTCAGGGCAAATAGCAGCCATATCTATCTGAAAACTAAGAGAGTTCTTTTATTAATCCAGTAAAGGCAGTGGACAACAGGAATTTCGCTAGATGCAGGAGCAGGGCCTTTACGAGGAAAGGTGTCAGGCACAGCAGATGTCACAGTGACCAGAAAACAAGTCCCAGACACTGATACTGCAGAGTTGCAAAACATCATGAAAATTCTCGTGATATTGAAGCTACAACACAGATTGCTCTGAGGGAAGTTGGGGAAGTGGGTGGTGGAGGGATTTGTGTGGGTTTTCTTGGAACGGCTCTTGTCTACAACCAGATATCCAGTGGGGACTTTCTAAAGAAATTGTCTAGGCAACTACATAATATGAGTAGATTATTCAGAGAGTAGTGAAGGATTTTTTGTTTTTGATCTCTTGATAGAGAAATGTAGTTAAAGTGCTTTCTAGATTCCTGTTACTGGACCACCGAGGGTCATCAGATGAGATCATCTTGGACCCTACCTACACATTTACGTTTATTTATGTCCTCATATTACTGTGGAATAAACCAGATTCTGCCAGAAACTGCCTATTCCACTTTCAAACTCCTGACAAGGTCCCTGCCTCCCTTTAGAGCCCAAATACCTTTCAGTCTTTTTTTCACATGGTGTTTCTGTGGCAGTTATCACTGGTGACTTATTTTTTTGTCTTTGAAATCTTTTCTTTTTTTTCCCATTTTTAAAATCATTATTATATTCAGTTAGCCAAAATATAGTACACCATTAGTTTTGATGTAGTGTTCAATGATTCATCAGTCGTGTGTAACACCCAGTGTTCATCATAACACGTGCCCTCCTTAATACCCATCACCTGGCTATCCCATCCCTCACCCCCTCCCCTATGAAACCCTGTTTATTTCCCGGAGTTCAGAGTCTCTCTTGGTTTGTCTCGCTCTCTGATTTTCAACTTAGTTCTCGGGACACCATTCTCTTCTCATTTTACCTTCTGCCATTTCTTCTTAGCCTTCTGTGAAAGCTCCTCTTGATCTATTTAACTCTTGAATCCTGACATCTCTCACATTTCTTTGGGATCTCTGTTTATTTTGCTTGTTCCTTCAGCCTGACATCATTCATTTCTGCATCTTTAACTTCCATTCAATGCTGATGATTTTCTCCACTCACTCGATGCACTTCTAGACTCTACATCCAGCTATCTTCCAGGACGTTTCATGGGATGTCCCATTAGTAACTTCACCTCAGTGTGTCCCAAACTGAATCCACTGTTGTTCTCCATTCACCCACTCCTGCTTTTACTTTGCATCCCTCAGTGATTGGTGGTCCATCCACCCAGATATCTGGCTGGAAGCTGAAAGCCCACCTTGACCTCAGCTAACTCACCCTCACTACCTTCCTGAGCATCTCATTGAAGGCCATTCTGTGGTGATTCTGTCCTGTTCACAACTATTATATCCATACTCTGCTTTCAACCTCTGCATAGCCAACCCTCATTCCCAGCCTTCTTATCTTTTCTGGGCCACTAGGTCTTCTGGGAGGTATCCCTGATCCTGGTTTTTCACTTCTCCAAATCATTCTCCACTCTGCCTCCAAAAGATACCTCTCCAAAAACACATGTTATTCTCCTGCTTAAAGTCAGTCAGTTGCCCTATAAAGGCAAAAACTCCCTAACACACTCCATAAGATCTTTCATGATTTCATCTCTTCACTCTTCATATTTTCCTTCCTTATTCCACCTCCTCCCTCCTCCGTCCTCTCTGCCATGCACCAGCTACACTGAGCTCTTCCTAGTTCCTCATATGTATCATGCTATTTCTCACATTGCTTTCTCCTCTAGGAGGACCCAACCCATGAACTTCCCTTGGAAGACTTTTCCTATCCCATGTCCCACTCGGCAGAATTGTCCACTAGTTGCTGCATGCCCCTGCTGTATCCTGCAGATGTCTTCAGTGGCATTTCTGCCACTTGATTGTGCCTTTTCATGGATGTGTCAGGCTTGGTCTAGCAAATTATGAAACCTTAACAATTGAAACCACATGATGGTCATCTTTGTGTCCCATGTGTCTGACCCCATGTTTGGCCTAATAAATGTTTAGGAGTGTTGGCTGTATGAATGAATGGTTTGAATCAGATTCTACCCCCTTCACAAAGTCTTCCCTATCTGGCTCGAGCCTTGACAACCACTCCTTTATCTGAGCTCCCATAACATTTGTTTCCTTAATATCCATTTGGCACTCTGCCTATGCTACTTTGTTTTGTTATTTGAATGACATTTTGCCTCTCTAGCTAAATTTCATCTTTTTCGAAGTAGATCATGTCCTAGTTCTTCTAGCTATGTGCTTTATCACCATTCAGCAAATATTTGTTGATGAAATAGCATTAAATTATTTTTGTATGTGAAAGCCTTGTTTAAAGATGGGTTCTAACAATGTCATTTACTAGCCACCCCTATTTAGGTTTGTCAGTTTTCTACATCACTTTATATAACTCAAATAGCAGCTATGTCTCTGGAAGGTCTAACCGAGGTCAGCTTGAATCCTATTACTTGCCCTTGAGCATTCTAAAACCCACTCCTCCTCAAGACTCCTGCCTATCCCCAGGGGTGGGGGGAGGGGGGTGTACAGAGGGGTAGGGGCAGGGGGTGGAAGGTGGTGGGGTGGGTGTTACATTCTCACAGGGCCCTTAGGCACTAATGTTTGACAGCCCTACTTCTGTAGGAATCTGATTCCCTTCTTTAATTTATACCCTCCAAGCTACATAAGCCAGTTTATATTTTTCATGACGCTATTGAAAGCAATGCCTGCTAAATACCAGGCACTGTGCTTTGTGCTTTCCATGCACTGACTTGGTTAATTCTCACAACAACTGATGAGGTAACCTGTGTTAACTCACCTTACCAGAGAAGAATCTGAGACAGTCGGAGCTCCTTGCTGAGCTCACATGGCTTGTTACAGATAGACTCAGGACTCGAACCCGTGCAGTCTGGCTCCAGGGTCCGTGCTCTGAGGCACTCTAAACATCTCCTTTCTGAAACAATATTTTACTTCCTGATGCCTGGGAGATTTCGCTGGCTGATTCACCCTGCATGGGTGCCCTAGGCTTACACCATCTCTCCAGTTCCTCCCTTCATTTTCCTTCTCTGCCTTCCCTCTTCTGGTCCCCCATCCTTCTTGGGGGAAAGTCCTTCCTCTGTCACACAGATTGTTGACCCATCACTGTTGGTTCCTGAAAAAACCTCAGAGTTTCCCCTTATACTCTGAAGCTTGTGAAAGCAGTTTCCTAATAAAAAAACCATATCTTTCACAAGAGAAATCCGTATGCTGCCTGTTGAGATTATATACACATTTATATAAAACATGCTTTTTATCTTATTAAAGTCATACTGTTCAGCTTTGTAACGCCCTGATTTTAAAAAGATGGGGTCTGTGTAAGTAACCTGTTATTTTGAGCTTAAGAGGTTACTTTAATAAATTTAAGGATTTAGACTCAGAGAATCTGGATTTAAATCCTAGCTTTACCACTTACTAGTTACATAATGTTGTGCAAGTCATTTACCTTTAGTAAACTTTATCATATTGATCTGTAAAATGGAAATAAGAATGCTTATTGTTTAACCCCACAGTTGTACTGAAAGTACCAATGAGATAATGTATTTCAAGGCACTAAATAAATTACCCCTTTGCTTTAATAGAGCCACAAAGTTCCTGTAACTTCCTCATTAATATTGGAATCTCCTTTCTCATCTTCTAACCCGACTCTATTGGAAATATTAGGGTATAAGCATCAGCTTAATTTGTGGGCCTGGAGAGGTCTGTAAGTGCTGCATTTATCCTTTGAATTAACAGAACCAGCTTCACTGTTTCACTGTTGTTGCTATGGTTACTGTGGCTTTTTGCCCTGCTTTCTTGAGGGGTTGCTAGCCTCCTGCTTAGAGCTTCCCCTTGTAGGTATGAATCCAACTCCTAAGGCTTCATAAATTGCTCTGTATTCATACATTACCCATATTGAAAATTGCAGGACAGGCATCCATTTCAAGACCTGATGTCATTAGAATCTTATCTGCAAGTCCCAGGACCCATGGGTCATGGCTCCTGACATTCTTTTAGCAAAGCCTATGTACAGGAAGCACACTCACCAAAATTGTCTGTTTACATTTATTGGATTATGGTTCATTGTACTGGATTTGGGAGTCATTGTTTTTCACATGTTTCCTTCACACTCTCTCATCAAGGTTATATAACTGTCTTTTAATCAGTACAGTTATTAGAATTATTATCTTTATTAGTTTTTTTTTACTTTATTTCTATTGTATCTATTGTGCCTATCTCATGATTTTCATATTAGTAACATACAGTTTCCCCACCCAGTACAAATTCCATCTTCTCTGGAGTGTATCACCTTTCCCATCACCTACCTCTTCTGGACACGTCCATAAGTCACTAAGCAGACAGTGATTAGGCAGGTATTTTCAAGGTTCAGTATTTCTGCCTCACTGTGATATACTTTATCATCATTTTGGTGTGGAATCCTTTCTATATCATTATTCACTCTTCGAGCAGAATCCATTTTATACATTTTATGGCAGGCTTGTCCTAGACCCCATGCAAAGCAATGTAGCTAATGAAGTACCGAAAAAACTTAGTGCGTATCTATCAGTGGGTTCCTGTGAGTGAGGCTGCCATGGTAACACATTCTAAATTAAATGTACTGTAATTTAGATAAAGAGAAAAATAACTCTTTGTAACTCTGAGTAAACTCACATTTACCAAAACAGGAAGCTTATTGAATTTATGGCTGTTATCTACTCTAGGTGACAGACTCAGAGGGCAGGGATTGTGGTAGCTTTTCCTTTTTGTTCTATCCCTAGTAGTAGCCAGGGCCTGCCACATAGTAGGTATTCAATAAATATGTGTTGAATCGAGACATGAATTTATAGTAATGTAAAAAAATCAGAGAACTCTTTGGATCAACTTTTTACAATGCCCTTGTAAATTTTTCAAATAAAATATTCAGCAAGGATGAATGAAATAACACAAAAATATATTAGATTTTAGTGGAAAGTGCTAAGCAAATACAAGCTATTATTAGTGTATGCTAAATAGTACAGGAGACTGGTAAAAGCTGCTAATTTATGAAATAATAATGGGCAGCACATTAAATGTGTGCTTTCATCCGTGATGTTTATGTTTATTTCAAGCATGCAAGCACTCTTTTTCTCCCCTTGGGTATTAATATCTTAAAATATGTTTTCTTACAGTATTCCTTCTACCAGCAGTTGCACGAACAAAAAAAGTCAGAAAAATTCTTCAAAGTTCTCTATGACCGAATGAAGGCTGCTCAGAAAGAGATAAGATCAACAGTGACAGTTAATACCATAGACTTAGGTAACAAAAAAAGGGATGATGACAATGAATTGATGACATCTGGTCCACGAATGAGAGGTAAAGAAATATTTGAGTACTTGGGGGTATAGAGAGAACAGAAGGGCACACAACTTGTAAGTCTCACTGATCTTTGTCATCTCACTTACCTTGGTCTCACTGTCCCAACTGTGGTTCCATGTGTGGAGCTCCATTCTTAAATTATCATGGCCACAGGATTGACCTTGAAACAGCTGTGCAGGACCAAACTCAAACAAGGGATTATCAGAGCAAAGTAACTAGTGACATGAAAATGTTGGCTTTATTGTGGAGTTCACAGTAAAGAGCCAGTTGCCCAAACCTTTGGAGCATTAGTGAAGTCCAAACTTTAAGAATAGAAATTACAAGGGTGTCTGGGTGGCTCAGTGGGCTAAGCCTCTGCCTTTGGCTCAGGTCATGGTCTCGGGGTCCTGGGATCGAGCCCCACGTCGGGCTCTCTGCTCAGCAGGGAGCCTGCTTCCCCACCCCCCACCCCCGCCTGCCTCTCTGCCTACTTGTGATCTCTCTCTCTCTGTCAAATAAATGAATAAAATCTTAAAAAAAAAGAATAGAAATTACAGCACCATACTTTAATGAAAGATTCTTGATATTTGGAATAAAAAAGTCATTGATGAAGTAAATATAAATCATAAAAGCATTAAGGTTTTGAAGTTTGCCATATTTCCCCCACCTTCTTGTATTCAAGAATTCTGGTATTTTATATTTATCAGAAAGACACAAGCCCTTCTAAAATTGGCAAAGCATTAACATCCTTTTTTTAATGTCCTATGCAAATTTCATATTTTAGTTGCTACTTCAGATTATTTGGGGGGAAATTGTTGCACCTTGTGTCAAGTGATTTTTAATTCAATTGTTAGAGAATTTGGGAACCGGTTGTCTTGTTTTTTAATTAGCAAAAGGAAGTTCCTTCAGAAATAAATAAGAGTACTGTTTAATTTCAGTAAGAGATTCATCATTACTTTTGAAAGAGGGAATGAAAGGGCAATTAACAGAAGCTTCTTCAGCGACATCCAAAGCATACTGTGCCTACCGAAGGGAAATGGATCCAGAAATAGACATTATGTGTGCAGGATCGGAAGCGGGAAACACTGAGGAAAAGTCTGCGGAGGAAGTCACGATGAGCCCTGCGATCGCCATCATGCAGCCCATACTGCGGTTTCTTCAGCTGCTGTGTGAGAATCACAACCGGGAACTGCAGGTACTTGTTCTAGTTTGTGTAAAAGCTGAGAAGACAGCCTGTGACTGTAGGTAACTACATTCAAATAAAACTAACGTGTCATTTAGGAGAGATAATAAAACCGATAGTGCTCTTCTGAGTTGGGAAGAAACATTTGCGTCTAAGTGAAGAAAAATGCGGGGAAAACTCCTTTATGCGTGAAAAAAAATCAGTCTTGTGTATTATCGTCCATTGCAGCCTCAACTCCCATCTTTTTAGCCTCAGGGTCATTGAATCCTAGTATTCTGGTATTTGTTGAGGAAGGTCACATTTGCCTCATCTATACCTTTCATAGTTTTGTGGGGTTTTTTGTTTTCTGTTTTTTTTAAAGATTTAGTTTATTTATTTGACACAGAGAGAGAGAGAGATCACAAGTAGGCAGAGCAGCAGGCAGAGAGAGAAGGGGAAGCAGGCTCCCTGCTGAGCAGAGAGCCCGATGCGGGGCTCGATTCCAGAACCCCGAGATCATGACCTGAGCCGAAGGCAGAGGCTTAACCCATTGAGCCACCCAGGAGCCCCCCTTTCATAGTTTTTTAAATTTTTTTTTAAATTTTTTTTTTAATTTTATTTTTTATAAACATATAATATATTTTTATCCCCGGGGGTACAGGTCTGTGAATCGCCAGGTTTACACACTTCATAGCACTCACCATAGCACATACCCTCCCCAATGTCCATAATCCCACCCCCCCTCCCAACCCCCCTCTCCCCATTAACCCTCAGTTTGTTTTGTGAGATTAAGAGTCACTTATGGTTTGTCTCCCTCCCAATCCCATCTTGTTTCATTTACTCTTCTCCTACCCCCTTAACCCCCCATGTTGCATCTCCTCTCCCTCATATCAGGGAGATCATATGATAGTTGTCTTTCTCCGATTGACTTATTTCGCTAAGCATGATACCCTCTAGTTCCATCCACGTCGTCGCAAATGGCAAGATTTCATTTCTTTTGATGGCTGCATAGTATTCCATTGTGTATATATACCACATCTTCTTTATCCCTTCATCTGTTGATGGACATCTAGGTTCTTTCCATAGTTTGGCTATTGTAGACATTGCTGCTATAAACATTCGGGTGCATGTGCCCCTTCGGATCACTACGTTTGTATCTTTAGGGTAATATTGAAAGGGGTCCTTTAATTTTTTTTTTAAATATTTATTTATTTATTTATATTTTTGAGAAGAGTGGGAGGGGCAGAGGGAGAAAGAGAGAATCTCAAGGACTCTTGCTAAGTGCCGAGCCTGATGCAGGGTTTGATTTCAAGACCCTGAGATCATGACCTGAGCTGAAACCAAGAGTTGGATGTTTGATCAACTGAGTCACCCAGGCTCCCCTGCCTTTCATGGTTTTATAGCTACAGGCACTTTCATCATTTCCAGTTCAATTCATATATCTTGAATGAGATACAGACTCTATTTCTACATCTCTATTAGAAACAGTTAATATAGAAGCAGATGTTTTAGGACAGTAAAGGTCGATACCTTTGTAGATGAATATAGTCCCCGTCTTACATCTTCTTTGGTACATTTTTCTTTGTCAAACAGCTGGACTGAGGGGCACCCAGGAATTTCGGGCTTTTGTTTTTTGCATTACTTGCACGCTGCTTACATCACCATGGCGTAACGACATGGGAGATGAAATCATCTGTAAGAGCACATATCCAGGATGAGGGAGAGCAGAGTTTGAAGCTGTGTTCTCTAGCGAGAACCTAGAGTGCAGGTGTTCTGAGTTGGTAAGAGATGGTAGGTTAATACAAATGGAATTAAATATCCTGTAAGGACATGAGAAGCTCAGGACTTCGTGAATGGTAGAAACTATGAGTTTTGTGGTCTACCCCACCACAATGTGCTACAGAGCTGTGGCAGGCAAAGGCCAGAAGTATTACTTCTGGAAGGAGGACACTGGAAATGCACCTACCTGCTCATCCTGGTCCATGTGGTCTGTCCATGTAGGAGATAGGTGGATTGTATCTGATAGAAATATTTTTCTAATAGGAGTGTGGGATCAAACAATTTGGGAAATGCTCCTGTAAAATAGTTTTGAGGCTCTTGGGTGACTGGGTTAAGCGGCCAACTCTTGGTTTTAGCTGGGGTGGTGATCTCAGGGTTGTGAGATGGAGCTCCACATCAGGCTCCACACTCAGTGGGGAGTCTGCTTGAGATTCTTTCCCCCTCTCTCTCCCCTTCCCCCTCTGCTACTCCCCCCGACTTGTTTGCTCTCCTTCTCTCCCTCTCAAATAAATAAAATGAAATCTTTAAAATACTTTTGTTTTAATAGACTAGGTAGTAGAATTATTCTATTAAAACAAACATAGCTATTATGTAGAAGGAACCCAGTGTCCATTGACAGATGGATCTACAAAATGTGGTATATGCATACAATGGAATAGTATTCAACCTCACAAAGGAAGGAAATTATGCCATGTGCTACAACATGGATGACCCATGAGACATTATGCCTCAAGTGAAATGAGTTAGTCACAAAAAGACAAATACTGTGTGATTCTATTTATATGACATAATTGTATAGTCAAAATGAGAGAGAGACAGAAAGTAAGAGTAGTGGTTGCCAGGGGGAGAGGGAAGGAAGAATGAGGAGTTGTTAATTGGTATAGAGTTTTAGTTTTACAAGATGAAGAATTCTAGAATTGGATGATGGTGATGGTAGTTCAGCGTTAAGAATTTATGTAATACCACTGAGTGGTACACTTAAAGATGTTTGGGAAGGTACATTTTATGTGTATTTTGCCATAATAAAAAATTGGAGGGCATCTGGGTGGCTCAGTCAGTTTAGCATCTGCCTTTGGTTCAGGTCATGATCCCAGCATCCTGGGATTGAGTCCTGGCTTCTCCCTCTTCCACTCCCCCTGCTTGTGCTCTCTCTCTCTCTCTGTGTCAAATAAATACATAAAATCTTTTTAAAAAACCTAAAAAAAAAGTAAGTGGTGGAAATAAATTCAAATAAGTAAATTAAATAATAAATTAATAAAAATAAGTAATAGATAAAAATAAATGTTTCCCCTCTCTGCTTACCTTTCACTAGATTTACTCATCCAAAGAAATTACTCTTAACAGATTATACTTCCTTCCAGGGACTTTTATGCACATAGAAGCATATTAATCTGTAAACGTAAATTCTTTTTAAAAACTCAGATTATGTAATGTTCCTCAGATTATGTGATGTTACTTTCCATTTAGTAATACACCTTATTACTAGATTTTGTTTATATCAGTACATACTGAATTACCTCATTTTTATAGCTTTGCAATATTCTAATGTCTGGATATACTGTTATTTGTTAAATCAGTCACATTATGATAGGTAGATATGGTTTCCAGTTTTTGCTATTATAAGAAGTGTGCAGTAAACCTTTTTGTAGTCATGTGTGTGCATGTGTGTGCATCATATATATAGAGAGATGTTATATATTATATATATATGTATATATATATATATATAATAACTTAGGAATCAGAACTGTATGTTAACTGAATATTTTAATAGGGGCTTCTAAGTTGCCCTCCGCAATGGTTGTATCATTTATTGTTTGAAGCGGTACTGGTTATGAGGGATCATTTACTTGAAAATTGCTTCTCTCCCTGATGAACTTCTTCTAGCTTCTTGTTTCCTTCTCCCTTTCCTATTATTTATTTTTTGCCTTCTCCATATAGTTTTGAGGTAATGACATTGTTATGAACTATACTGATAAATTTAGATTCTTGAGGAAAAAACTGGAAGCTTTCTTCTTAAACCTAAGGGAAATTTAATAAATGTGAACACTTTCTTATAAAGAGCAATTCCATTCCACATTGCCTTGGGGATATTTTTGAGTCAGAAAAACACACATAGTGAGAGAGCTGAAAGCAATTAGCACAGTGATTTCTTTGAACTCCTCAGGTATATTTTCTTTTGCTTTCAGAACTTCTTGAGGAATCAAAACAACAAAACAAATTATAACCTCGTCTGTGAAACCCTTCAGTTTTTGGACTGCATCTGTGGAAGTACCACGGGTGGCCTGGGCCTGTTGGGTCTCTACATCAATGAGAAGAATGTAGTACTGGTCAACCAGACTCTGGAGAGCTTGACGGAATATTGCCAGGGCCCATGCCATGAAAATCAGGTAACCGTGAAAGCAGTTCTTCACGCAGAAGTATTCATGACTAATTAGCAAAAGGATCAAACTGGTGAAGGAGCCAAGCTTTGTCTACGTGTAAAAGATCTTTCTTGCTTTGCCAGATATTTTTACTCTTCTCACGAAACATACAAAGACGGAATTCTAGACTAGTAAATACTATGCCCTATTTTTATTTAATTTTATCATAAAAGAAAATTCCCATGAAAATGTTCCAGATATAAATCAGACCTACCGAAAAGAGTGAAATGTGTTTCTTCACCGTTGCTCAGTTTTCATCTTTAGTGACTCTTTCTCAGGATTTGTGAAACACACTCCCTTTGGCTTCTACCACTCCATTGCAGTGTGTCGTATATATTAGTCTCCTTTAGACTCGCAGTAAACCTATGAACATTACGAAATAGGTCTTATTGCTCCCATTTTGTGGATTAATAGGTTCTGACCCAGAGATCAGTGATGTTCCATGGCCTCGGAGTGAGAGAATCAGTATATTGTAGAGCCATACTTAAAACTCAGGACTTTTGATTGGGCCTAAATAAGAGTGCTCTTTTGACTGCATTACATTTTCAAGGGTAAAATTTCACCTTTCTTCCAGAAGGTTTGCCTGATTCCGTTTTCTTGGACATCAAGGACATAGAAGACAGGGCACTTGAGGGCATAGAAGACAAGACACTTGAGCTAGTCAAGAGAGGGTAGTCACCCGAGAGTTTGTTAATTGACTGTTCACAAACACTTAAGTGTTATGGGGCTATCATTGCAAGCATGGATTCGGCCTGGAAGGAAGAGTTTTCAAGTGGTAAACATCTCTGGATATAAATCTTAAAGAAGCCGTTGAGACCGAACATCAGTGCATAACATAGAAAAGAAGTGTGGGGGGGAGAAAAACAGGCTGCTTTTCTATTGTAAATTATGAAATATGCACACACACATGTATAAACAGGTACACACATATGCATGCCTAGGTATGTAGAATAAAAACTCAACATTTACTGATATAAAGAATTTGTTGTGAGGATACTTCCCCCCCTGTAATGTGAATGTTACCCAGGAAAGGAGGTAACAGATTTTGCCCTAGGTTTTCCTGGATTATATTTCAGTCTCCTAGGGTAATGATACAAAGAAACTTAACTGTTGAAAGTTGAGGAAAAATATACAAATTTGGAAACTTGGTTTTGTTGTTGGAAAAAACATGTATATCTATATTATTAAGCACATATTCCCCACTTTTGGTCTTATAAAAAGAAGAAATTGAGTTTTGAAATTAATTTACTAAGCTCTAAAAGTAAAAACCTAATAATAAAAAAACAAAATAGTAATAAATAATGATAATAAACATGAATCCCTCATACTCCAAAAATATAGTATATTTGAACCCCAACTTCTGAAAATATGTGGGAGAAAAGACAGTTACCAGAAAATTCCAGAAATGATCTGCAAATTGATTCCCTTTAAGTCTAGCAAGTATCTTAATAATCAGAAGAACCTCAGGAAATGTTGAAGATGGATGGAAGACACCTTTCCTTTGTGTCAGGGGAGTAAAAAATTCTTTGTGCAAAGGGAAAAATGAAGCCCATTCTGAAAGATAACGGTTATTTCAGAATTATGTTGAGTTTACCCTTTCTCTTTTAACTCACCTGGGTTTCCATTTTTTTGACCCGTTGATACTGGCTACTGCATCGTAATGTGTGGTTCCACAAATTCCAACCCACAGGTTTCTGATGCTCAAGTTCTATCCATTGAATTAAGTTCAGGATCCTAGCACAATAGACCCTAGCCTTCAAAATACTGCTTATCTCTCAGGATGTTTTATAAACTTTCCCCAAGTCAGGTCCTTCTATAAATCACTCAGGTTGAAGGACTCTGCAGAACTTGTCCTCCACCACCATACCAGAGAGATGTCCCCAAAACAATAGAAGGCTCCTGTCTTCCTTGTCTGCTGCCCGCAGAGGTGGAGTGGCATCATGTACGACTCACTCAATATTAGGTAGCAGCTAAACTGATAAGCCCTATCAGTGCCAATGACATTGACATACCTCAAACATACCACATGGACACTCCTTTCCTAAAGGGGAATATTCTCTTAACCAGGAGAGATCAGATCTTAAAATTCTGAATTTAAGACACTAACTCTTCTATTGGAGGGTGTATTAAAATTTGTTGTCTGAAAGAGTATTTAACTTCAGTTTTGAAGTTCTTTGAAATTCTATAAAAAATGGTTCATTTTAAAAGATCTCTACACACATTGTCTCTTTCAGTGTTCTGCATTCAAAGCCACTTAATCAATACTAATCAATTAAAAGATTTGGTATGAAAGAATAAGTCAAATTTAAACCCTTGACTTAATCTCAAAGTTAAATCTTAATTCTGTTTTTCAAGTCACTGAGGTGACTGTTCTTTTATGTCAGATGATGTCTAGTGCTTTTATGTTGTAAGTAAAACATTGTTTGGTAAATGTTTTGTTTTCCAGACTTGTATTGCTACTCATGAATCAAATGGGATTGATATCATCATTGCTTTGATTCTAAATGACATAAACCCTCTGGGTAAATATCGAATGGATCTGGTGCTCCAACTAAAGGTAGAGTAAATCCACTATTTGTGGGGAGGGGAGGTGACATTTTCTATATAAAACTTCCATTCAGAATTGACTCTAAATCCTCCAGTAGCTCTTGTAAAAACCCAGGTATTATCATCTGTTCAGCTAATGAATTGACAGAAAGGGAGAGTGAAAGTACAATGTGCACTAAATCCCCAATAAACGTCCAATAAGCTTTGAGGTAATTTCAGTTGGAGGGTACTTTACTGAAAGTTCTTTTAAGTAGCCACTTTGTTTCACTACTTCTCTTTGTTTTTATTTTATACTTTTTATTTTATAGAAGAAAAAAGGTGTTAAACATTCATTATGCCATATATTTTTAATTCATCTAGACTACAGAATCCTATCTAGCAAGTCACAATGAATTAGACCATGTAAAAGAAGGGCTGCATTTTAGTTTCATGGCTCTCTTCTCTTGAAAAGTTGTTTTCTTTTACATCAGAATTATGTTTTTTGGTCAAATACTATAAGCAGTGTTTACACTCCCTTTGAGAAGCTGCTTTAACTTTAGCTGTGCACATACTTCCCAGTAGTTCCATTTATCAGAGCTGAGGAAAGAAATGGCATTTTAAAAAATTTCAACTTTTTCTTTAAATGGAAATAGACAAATGAATATACACAAGAAGCTATATATAAATAAATCCCAAACTCAAAGGCATGTTATTCAATACAGATGAATTATTAAAGACCACATTACTGTGTTTAGTGTTAAAGAAGTAAAAAAAAAAAATGATTAAATATAATTTTTCTGTAAAGATAGGTCCATCCAGTATCAGAGCAAATTTTTTTTTTTTTTTGAGAGAGAGAGTGCACATGCATGAGTGGGGGTGGGGGTGCAGAGGGACACAGAGAGAGAATCTTAAGTAAACTCTCCGCTGGGCATGGAACCTGTGTGGGGGCTCAATCTCAGGACCCTGAGGTCATGAACTGAGCCAAAAGCATGAATTGGGCACGTAACTGACTGAACCACCCAGGCGCCCCTAGCAAATACAGTTTAATTAAATTTTGTATCAGTAAATTTATGGCCAGAGAGAATAGAAATGATATTTTTATAATCTTATTTCTAAATGTAGATTAGATATGTAATGGAATGCACATATGTCCCTTTTATGTGAAGATTATGCTAGGGGCTCCTAATAAGCAAATGTTTCTTTTCACAGACAAGGTGAATTTTTACTTTTTCACTGTTTTCATTGGCAATATGTATAAGCCTTGAGTCTTTCTGTTCATAGAATAGAACTAAGGTGATCCTTATGTCGATTGAATTTGTGTCCTTTTCCCCATGAGCATCATGTTTTTATTAGTGAAGCCAGCCTCGGCCTATGTGACAGACAGCTTCAGCTGAGTTACTAGAAAAATGTTTATTTCCCCTTAAATTCATCTTTAATCACAATTCATAAAGAAACAACACATAGAAGCCTTGGTCTTTGGCTCTTTAAATCCTTTATTGGCCTAAAGACTACCTTTAAATCTCATTTTTAATTAGTATAATTCAATGGAGAAAAATACTGAGTGATTGATTGATTTGAAAGGGGGAGGGGCTGAGGGAGAAGAAGAGAGTCTCAAGCAGACTCGCTACTGAGTGCAGAGTGGGGCACAGGACTTGATCCCACAACCTTAAGGTTATGACCTGAGCCGAACCCAAGAGTCAGACGCTTAGCCGACTGAGTGAGCCACCCAGGCGCCTTGTGATTCATCCATTTAAAACAAAGTATTAAAAAAAAAAAAAAACAAGTGTAGGCATACAGATTATTTACAAATCCAAACATATGTAAAAAACTAAATGATGGGGTATTACTTGAGAGTATGTAGATATTTTTAGCTATTTAATGAAAATGCTTTTTTGAAAAAGGACTATTTAAAATTTCATTTGTTACTAACCACTATTTATGTATATGTTTTTGAAATGTGACGTTGGCTAAATCAAGGTATAACATACCAGGTAAATGGACTTGACTTGAAATATTTAAAATATAGTCTTCTACCTAAAGAACAAGGCATGTGTGCCTTTCCCAACAATCTATGAAGCTCTGTACATAATGGCCAATATGAGAACAATCCTTAAAACAGAATAATATATATTGCCAGATTTTAGGGGGCTTCCATGGGTAGAATGCTTTTAATTATAAAATCTCTGTAACATCAAAGAGTAAGTCATATTAAAAAATGCTAAATAAAGGTTTATTTTGTATCGTTCATCCTTAAATTTAATTGCTTAATCATTTATACTTTCATTTAAAATTTTAAGTGTATTTAACTCTGCATATTCATTTACTGTGAAGGCTTATGCATTTTTTCATGCATATGTCTTGTTCTTTAACTTTTAATTTACATTTCATGACTGACCTGTTACTGCAAAGTTTTGAATTTGTAAATAGGTTTTTTTTTTTTAAAGGTCTCTGGCTTCCTTTGGAAGAAAATCTTCTGTTAACACCGAAGCACACATTTGATTTCTTAGTGTATATAGGCTCTTGTACTTTCAATTTGATTCAGATTTGAGGTCATTTACAAGATTTCTATTCTTTGAAGATAGTGTAAAAAGATTGGTTGGAAAAAAATTGTATCGCCATTGGTATTCTAAAATTGGATGTATTTTTAAGCTATTATGTATTGGGCCTCCTAAATGAGGTTCATTAGAGAATACTGTTCGTGTTGCCAAGGTTTGAGCTTTGAATTCTGTGGGGTCAGTTCAGATTACTCTGATTACTCCACTAATTGTGGAGCCTTGTTATTTTAAGTATGTTGTTTGTATAGGATGCTACATTACAAAAATGGATTTTAGGATTGATGCAAATCTGCAAAAATTGAAAATGAACCAGAAAAAAATAATGCCACTTCCCTTACAAAATACTAATTTTTTTTTTTCAGGATGGGTCTATGACATTGCTACCATCATTACCAGACATCATTGCTTCTAATATTAGTTTTAAAGATAGTCTTTAGGCTGCAGTCCTAAAAGAACAAAATAGTTGGATAGAATTTGGTATTAAGCTACTCAGTAAAGTTAATTTGTACAAACTTAACACAATTTTTGTGATGAATGTCTACATATATCAGACAGCTGATTCAGTTCAAGTTTTTACCCTGCAGGATGTTAATTTTGAGTCACTAAGAAACATCTTAAAGCCATTAAACGTTACTTTTCTTGTGCTCCTATCAAAGATCGTGTGTGGCAATTGAGATTTTTATCTAAATAAATGTTGCAAAAACACCGTAGAAATATGTCCTAGGTACTTTTTATCATAATTTTGCCAAAGTTTGCCATAATTCTGGGGCAGTGCTATTGAAAACAGTGTAAAGAAACATCTTTCCAAATGTTGAGGATATTGTGCTTTGTGTAATAAGACGTTGTATAATTCTTTGGATTATAAATCAACTTTATCAGAAATATTATTGGTATCTACAGGTTAAATGTTTGAGAATATATGCTTATAAAAGAACTGAAAACATCAAAGACAACACAGACTATTTTTAGCCTCTATTAAACAAAAGAAAATATTGTTTTTCTATAACACAGATGGTAAACATGTTGCATATTACTGCCGAAGAGTGAGACCAGTAAATTATTACCAGTAAATTTTTATTTTTACTTCTAACTCATGAATTTAAAATTTTATAGATTAATACTCAGTAATTATTGCTCATATTTATTAAAAATTTTGATACGCTAATACATATTCATGTTTTACACAAAAAACAATTGTGCTAAGTTCTTTAAATTATATACCATTTCTGTAAAGTACATCATTGATACTGGTTCGCCTTACCATCTTGTTAAAATGGCATCAAGACAATGTCTATTTAGAAAATAGTGATGGAAAATAGTGTATTTTAAAGCATTATATATAAGGTTTTGATTTTGTATTGAAAACAGCCTTTCACCAATATTTAAAATATTCTTTGGAATACAGCTCTCATGACTCATTATTTTTATTTTGTGTTGACAATGAAGTAAAACCTTCTATATTAAAATGTGAATTAGCCAAATGAAATTAGCAGTTTAAAGTTGTGTTTGTTTTTTTTTTAAAAAACGGTCCTGGTAATATCAATTAAAACAAACAGGGATAGTTAATCCATGAAATAGGCTTTCCATGTGCATTAACTCAATCTGTATCTCTAGAACAATGCCTCTAAGCTTTTGCTGGCCATTATGGAAAGCAGACATGACAGTGAGAACGCGGAAAGAATTCTTTTTAACATGAGACCCAGGGAACTGGTAAGAAAACTTTTTTTTTTTTAATATTTTATTTATTTATTTGACAGAGAGAGAGAGAGATCACAAGTAGGCAGAGAGGCAGGTGGGGGGTGGGGGGTGGGGAAGCAGGCTCCCTGCTGAGCAGAGAGCCTGATGTGGGGCTCGATCCCAGGACCCCGAGATCACGACCTGAGCCGAAGGCAGAGGCTTAACCCACTGAGTCACCCAGGCGCCCCAAGAAAACTTTTGAAACTGTATTAATAATGTTCATCCTAAAAGGGATGAATTTGCAGTATGCATGTCAGGGAAAAGGTGGCTTTTTCTAGTGGCTTCCACTGCCTCACCAGGGCATAATGGCACATCACAGCTTACCTTTGCAGGTGACTCAGGAGGCCCCATCATGGCAAAAGCCTGTGTGATTTGGGTCCTTACTTCATTGCTTTTATCTTCTCTAAGCACTTTTCCTAATCAGATTGTCACAGTCTGTTAAACTATGTGAAAATTCTTTTTTTGCCAGAAAAAAAAATAAGTGTGCTTTAGTTTGTGTATTGGAATATAGGAGAAAAGTGTCTAAAAAATGTCTGTACTCCTCAAAAGTTTTATTTATACCTCTTTCTGAGCAATAAAAGTAAGACCAATTCCTTTTGAACTTGTTTCTATCAGTGAAATGTTGCACCATGCTTGGCCTAAAGGAAACTATATGAAGACTTGATGGGGATTCCACAGAGATCATTAGTGTGCCTTCTTACTGTAGAAGTTATATTTTCCTCCTCAGTTACATGGAAATTAGGAAGTAATATCAGCATGCTTTAAAAGCACTGAGTTTCTTTTTCTTTAATTTTAATTCTAGTATAATTAAAATACAGTGTTATATTAGTCTCAGGTGCACAATATAGTAATTCAACAATTCCATATATCACCCAGGACTTGTCACAACAAGAGCACTCCTTCATCCCCATCACCTGTTTTACCCCATCCCCGTACCCACCTCCCTTCTGGTAACCATCAGTTTGGTCTCTATAATTAAGAGTCTGTTTCTTGGTTTGTCTCTGTCTCTGTCTCTGTCTCTGTCTCTCTCTCTCTCTCTCTCTCTTTTTTTTTTTTTTTGCCTTGAAAGCACTGGGTTTTAAAAACATTGCAAACATTCTCAAACCCGTATCACTTGGCGGTTGCATGACTAAGTCCCAGTCTTAGGAGCACCGCTGTTGGTACTATGGGGAGATCGTATTGAAGGCACTCTTTTGCTCTCTCTTTAAGAGTAAGGAATGGTGTTGAGGAGGACTGATAAAGATAAATGTAAGAAGTAATTTTATTTAACACATATTTATAGAGAGTCTCGTATCTGTAAGGCAGGGAGCTAAGAGAAGCAAGATATTCTCTACTCTTATGGTTGAATGGGGCAATGAGTTATGTGTTCATTCAACAATAGCACTGTACAAGAGCCTTTGAAAATACTCTCTTCTCTGCCTACACCTTTATCTCATGTGACTCACCATCAGTCTCTTGCCTGAGTTCATGCCCCTGCTCTGTTTTCACTTAGTGTCTCACACTTAGTGCTGCTGTAGAACTTTTTCATTCACCTCTTGATGTGCGGACTCTCTCACTGGACAGTGAGCTCCTAAAGGAGGATGCATACTGTGTTATACCCAGTGGGGGGTACATACTGTGTTATACCCACTGTTGGGTCCTCAGTGCAGTGGACAATGTCCAGCTTCACTTGTCCCTGTTACCCAGTGGGCACTGAGTATATAATGGATGGTTATCAGGGTTCCAGAGTCTCCTAATTCATGGGAACTTTGGCATTGTCAACATTCACACATCAAAGGAAGACTTCTCAAGGAAGTAGACAGTATTGTAGGAAAATACTTTCATATTCATTTAAATGAAGGTGGTTTCCAAGGTCATTCTCATTTATAGTTCTTTTATACTTTTCAAGTCTTAGGAAGTGTTCCAGTTTTTAATTATACCTCATAAACAATGTAAATTGGTTGTTGTTTGTGGCATTTCAAACCTTGTTCCTATTTGTTTTTTTTTGATAGGTGGATGTGATGAAGAATGCCTATAACCAAGGACTGGAATGTGACCATGGGGAGGATGAGGGCGGAGATGATGGTGTTTCCCCAAAAGATGTTGGACACAATATCTATATCCTGGCCCATCAGGTGTCACATTTTATATCTTATATTATTGCTAATCTTATCAATTGTGTTTTGTGTCATGACTTGTTATATTTTCAAGTTCTGGTCCCATCATTTATACAGTACCTGCCCCCTTGCTCTGGGCCAAGGAGAGGGAAATGTTCCCAGAATGCCCAGTTGTGTTCCCAGAGCTGTGCCAAGTGTTGATCCATAAGAAAATGATACTTGTCACAAAAAACTACTGGGCCAGGGGCACCTGGGTGGCTCAGTGGGTTAAGCCTCTGCCTTCGGCTTAGGTCATGATCTCGGGGTCCTGGGATCGAGCCCCACATCGGGCTCTCTGCTCAGCGGTGAGCCTGCTTCCCTCTCTCTCTGCCTGCCTCTCTGCCTACTTGTGATCTCTCTCTCTCTCTCTCTGTCAAATGAATAAAAATTAAAAAACAAAAAAAAAAAACTACTGGGCCAGGAGACAGGAGACAATGCCAGGTCAGAACCTGAGAAATAGACAAACCATGACAACAAATGGAAGCTTCAAGGAGAGAGGAGGAGAGGCCAACTGAAAAGATAGTGTGTGAAATAAGGGGGTACATTTAGTCTAATCAGGACAAACCTTGGAGATGCCTTCTGGCCTCTTTGAGTTAGAGGTTGTCATGTTTCCTACAAAAGTCAGAAGTGGAAGCCTCTAACTAGTTTCCACTAGACTTCTAACAAGGATGAGGCTAAATTTTAAAATTCCTCTGGAGGACCCATTTCTATTCTATAGTTCTTTATGAAAACAGGCACTTGATAGATGTTGTTTGAGGAATTTCATTTTATTAACATGAAAATCAGCTTTAAATTTGCATCGTCTAAGGCAGATTTGCTTAGAAGTTAAACATTTTAAATATACAGTGCCAATTTGATTCTGTCTGTAGCAACTACCTCTTTTTTATGAGATACAGTCCTAACTCTGTAGACTTTCCCCAACCTGCCTTTCTAGTCATCTTCTCGCATGGTCTACCTCTCTCTCTTCCTTCTTACCCATACAGCTTACCAGTTAATTGAACAAACACTGATACATATAAAGTACATTGATTTATTCTCACTTTTTAAAAATTTTTCCAGTTTTATTGAGATATAAAGGACATATACAGCACTGTGTCTGTTTAAAGGTGTTAAAAAGTTGCTTTTCAGACACTTCTTGCCCTTCTCTGTAGAGCTGTATAAAGTATGTAAATTCAAGCATAGTCCTCACAAAAGATTCTGGGAAGGAGTCGGATTTTAAAATATATTAACAAAAGAAGCTGCTCTGATTTTTTTTTAAATATTTTATTTATTTATTTGACAGACAGAGATCACAAGTAGGCAGAGAGGCAGGCAGAGAGAGAGAGAGGGGAAAGCAGGCTCCCCGCTGAGCAGAGAGCCCGATGTGGGGCTCGATCCCAGGACCCTGGGATCATGACCTGAGCCGAAGGCAGAGGCTTTAACCTACTGAGCCACCCAGGTGCCCCTGCTCTGATTTTTTAAATACAGTTCGATCACTGGGAAGATTTTGGAGCCTCTCATTATATAGCAAAATGCATATGTAGACCGGACACAGATAAGGGTAGATGGGTTATAGCTAGAAGGACAAAAGAGAATTTTAGGTATTGAGGAACCAAAAGCCAGAATGAAGGGCATGTTAAAGGAAGAACACAGAGGTTTAGGAGGTAGAAAAGGTGTCATTTTAATTTTATTTTTTTAAAAAGATTTGTTTATTTGAGAGAGAGTGAGAGAACACAAGCAGGGAGAGCAGCAGTCAGAAGGAGAGGAAAAAGCAGACTCCCCACTGAGCAGAGAGCCCGACATGCAGCTCGATCCCAGGACCCTGGGATCATGACCTGATCCGAAGGCAGACGCTTAACCAACTGAACCACCCAGGCATCCCAAAGCTGTCATTTTAGAGAGAAAGAGAGATTCAGGTGACAGGAATTGAGTCACTCTAGACAAGGAATGACTAAAGATTGAACGTGAGTGGAAAGAAAAAAAAGTCACTGGCTGAAAACGAAAATCAAATTGGCTACTAGGAAGAAGAGAAAAATGTGATGGCCCAGCATGTGCCTGGGCAAGGAGCTATTTCAGAAGCTGTAGCACTGTGGAAGGAAAACAACAAGGAAGAGTGGGCCAGAGTGAGCAGTGAAAATTTTTAGAGGAAGGAAGTAGGGGAATTCAGCCGCCCATGTTTTCTTGACTGAAACCTGGTCTCACTGTGTCTAGAGAAATGTCCCCTCTTGCACGAGTGAGTGGCTACACAGACAAGTCCTGACCTGACAGGCTTGCAGTGGGAAATGAACAACCAGCCTGGCTAAGTCAGCCTTGGAACAAGAAGAGTGGCAGATGTTTGAACCAATCGCCCCCATCCGTGAAGAGGAGGTTTAAAAATGCCATCTCAGATTACCCGTATAATGTGCGGAACAGTACAAATGTCAAGGTCAAGAAGAGACTTTTCTAGGTCAGTTCATTTTCAAGCAGACGAAGTAGAAGAGTAGAGAGTACAGATTTTAAAAACAGGCTATGGAGGGTGTGGAGAAGAATGGAGAATGAGTATAAAGAATGCAAGAGCTGTCATAGGATGAAGGATAATGATAGAAAATATGAAAATGATATAAAATATGAAAATATGAAGTTAAAAATGCAGATGGCATAAGGGGTAAATGATCTTGGTGGGTTTAAGTTTATGACAGTGCTTGGAGAGAAGAGATTAGATTCAAAGACAACGGTGGAGTTGTCTAAGGAGTGGGAATTCAATAGTTAAAAAAAGGAGTAATAGGGGGCACCTGGGTGGCTCAGTGGGTTAAGCCTCTGCCTTCAGCTCAGGTCATGGTCTCAGGGTCCTGGGATCGAGCCCCGCATCGGGCTCTCTGCTCAGCAGGGAGCCTGCTTCCTCCTCTCTCTCTCTGCCTGACTCTCTGCCTACTTGTGATCTCTCTCTGTCAAATAAATAAATAAATAAATAAATTTTTAAAAAAAGGAGTAATAGGATACAATTTACTGAAACAAAGAGATGAAATCACAGATGGGAAAATGACTTGAATGGAGAGAAACCTCTATATAGAGGTTTCTTAATTTTGCAAAACCAAAACGTTGTAAAAGCAGTAGTTTGTAGAGCTGGGATGGTACAACACAGAGATACATGAGTAAGCCAGACTGAGTATAGGGAAGAAGGAAATTCTGAATTGCTGAATACTCTAAGCCTTGTGATTCAGTTGTAAGAGTAAATATGAAAGAGAGTAAGTGTGCATTCTTTGAGGAACTCAAAAACGGGATAGGAGTGGCAGAATATATAAAACAGTATATGTAACTGTGTAGAGCTAAGCAACTGTCTGCTTATTTTCTTAGAGTGACACAGAACATTGTTACCTTACTTTTTAAGGTATTCTCTTGGGTGACTCCTCCCACCATTGTGTGTGAGAGAGAGAGAGAGAGAGAAATTCAGTTTTCACTCAGAGAAGAGAGCCCACTGTGCTTTTTTCATCTTTCCACAAGTGATTCCTTTGGGGTTCTCTAGGCTGGCATGTTATATTGGTTTCTTGGGAGGCCGGCCGTGGTTGCTGAGTACCTTAATGAATCTGTTGTCCAAGCAGCGACCACACCAAAGAGGAGGGGTCATGTGCTTTGCTTTCAGGAGAAGCCAGGTAGCAGTGCTCCAAGGGTTTGGTTGAGCCCCGCTTTTGCTGCTTTCACTGTGGGTATGGAATTATTTGTCCCCTGAATGCTGATGACCATGCAGATTGGTTTCTGCCTTTGCACAGTTCAGTAATTCCAAAACCAAGGTTCAACTTCCTCCTTGTTTTACTATAATCATCTTTTGTACAGACAGTTTATTTTGGTGCACTCAGACTTTCAATTTTTGTTGTTATTCTTTTCATGGTAGTGAGGTAGTTCTGCTTTTTCTACCATGACATCCTTTTTAGCCCTTCCTGTGGTTGGTGTTACAAGAAACAAATAATGCTTCTTTCTTGTAAGTGTCTTGTCTGATCTACATAAAACTATAAATACATCAAAAAGGGAATTTCTTAAGTTCTACTACTATGGTGCATGCAGAACATTTCCTGAAAATTCAGCTATGGGTCCTTTTTTATTTTCTGCCATCCACATGTTCTCCTTCCATATCTCTGCCTTGTCTTTCTGCTATGGGCTTCTTCTTTTATATTTTGCCTTCTTACTGTTCCTTCTCCTCTTTATTCCTGCCTTTCCATAGAATAATCACTGCCTGCAATCTAGGACATTCTTCAGTACTTTGTATGTACTTAACATGTATTAAACCATATTGTTTTTCTGGTTCCATGTAGCAATTTCTGTTTTTCCATCTGAAAAACTTTATCCCCCTCTAGCTTTATTGAGATATAATTAACACATAACATTTATAAATTTAAGGTGTATAATATGTTGATTTGACATATTTATATGTTGCAAAATGATTAACCACCATTAGCTCCATCCCATCGCATCATTATTTCCTTTTTGTTGAGAACATTTAAGATACACTGTCTTGGCAACATTCACTATATGATTACAGGAGTATTTGCTATAGTCACCATGCTGCACCTTAGATCCCCAGAATTTGTTACTCTTCTAACTGGAAGCATATACCCTTTAACCAATATCTCCCCATTTCTCCCACCTTCAGCCCCCTAGTAACCATCATTCTACTCTCTGTTTCTCTGGCTTCCACATTTTTAGATTCCACATATAAAAGATCATATGGTATTTCTCTTTCTCTGACTTATTTCACTTAGTGTAATGGAGCTCAAGGTCCATCCAAGTTGTTGCAAACAGCAGGAGTTCCTTCTTTCTCATGGCTAAGTAATATTCCATATTGTGTGTTTATATATACAGACCACATCTTCTTTATGCATCATCCCTTGATGGACACTTGGATTGTTTCCATATCTTGACTATTGTGAATAAGGCTTCAGTGAACATGTAGGACCCTTTATTTCAATACCTACCAGAATTAAGATGTATATGGAGAAAAGTATTAATGAACAAGACTTTGGAAAGCA